CACAGCCCTCTGCCCAGCAATTCAGTCCCTAAGGGAGTTTGGATTTGTCCATGGAGCTTCCATGACCTTACCATGAACAAGCTTACACCAAGGTTTCTTAAACTTCAAACACTTGACCAGTTCAGGGATTTTGACATATCCATATGCCACCTGTACATTGGATATGTAATGTAGTTCTTTAAACAAAATCACATTTTTTACTTAAATAAAAAATGTAGCATTGTCCTAATCAATACATTAGTGAAATGACATCTTTGATTGGCAGATATTTTTCTATTATATATTGTTAATATATAACTACCAAAATTAAAATATCATCCATCTACCACTTAAAATCATCTTGTATTACAACAGTGGGGCACATACTGTCCTGTGGTAGGCACAGAACTATGGGATAAAAGCTCAGTCCTTGGCCATCACACAATCTGGTCTTCACTTCCTTTTCTTAGTCTTTGTCCCTTTCTTACATGTTTCCCCAGTTCTGCTGAACCAACTGCAGTTCTCCAGCCTTGCTGTGATATTTTATGGCTTTACATACAGCTGTGCCTTTACACATGGTACTCCTTCTACCCTGTTTCCCAGAACATCTCCTCTTGTTTTTCCCTGCCCTTCCTCCCCTCTTACATGGAGGGACAGGCTTTCGTCTGTATTTTCACATCCCTCCCTTCTTGCCTCCAACAGAGCACTTGCCACTCCCTTCCCTTTCCAAGAGATTAGATTTAGTCAACACTGTACTCAGTGGAGCCCTGGTGGCACAGTGGTTAAGAATATGGCTGTTGACCAAAAGGTTGGCAGTTCGAGTCCATCTGCTGCTCCTTGGAAGCCCTGTGGGGCAGTTTGACTTGATGGCAACAGGTTTGGTTTTAGTTTGGTACCTCAACACTGTAAGAAAAAATTAAGAAAGACTGAAACGTAGTGGGTATTCTAACTAGCTCGTACAACTGGGATATCTTCACCTTTCATTGTCTTTGACTAGGCCATTTATAGCTCAAGAGATAGAAGTTAACCTGTAGAAAACTGATAGTAAGGTAAATAATTCTTGTTTATAAATAAATAATTTAAAAAAGTTTTTATTGTACTTTAGATGAAGGTTTACAGAACAAACAGTTTCTCATTAAATAGTCAGTACACAAATTGTTTTATAACATTGGTTAACAACCCCACGACATGTCAATGCTCTCCCTTCTTGACCTCGAAGACTTTTTTTTGGTGAAAATATACATAACCAAAGTTACACAATTTTGAAAGTTTCTACATGTACATTTCAGTGACATCGATTACATTCTTCCAGTTGTGCTGCTATTCTCACTATCCTTTTCCAAATTATTCCAATAAATAACTTCTGTTTAGTAGAGGTTCAATTGACTTCCCTCTTCCACTGTGAAAGAAGCCAGTTTTGCATCTATAAGGAAATTCATTTCAGCATCCTTGATGGGCTTATATATTTACCTAGTCTTTGGATTCTCCTTTGAAATGGTTGTAACACCTGTCTGGTTCCCCCTTTAAGAAAAGGGTTAAATAAAATCTTTGACATATGTCCATTGTATATTCATTGAGAGTTACAATTTTACCTTTCTTTTAAAAAACTATCCTTTAACAGTATTTGGCACAGAGCCTGGCACAAGGTACGCACCCAATAAATATTTGTTAAACTACTGAATGAATAAGTGAATTTAAACAAGTAAATGTAGTCTTTGCCATGGCCAAAATCAAGTATTTAGGCCTGGATCATCATGAAGGAAGGGTGTGGGATACTCTTGTAACACTTAGCTGTTTGAAGGTTGAAATAGGAAAATCCGCCAAATCTTTTGGGAGATAGCAGCAAGATGGCTTACAGTAGATGTGGACAGCCTTGTGTCTGAGGCTGGCCCAAGTGACCCCATCCCAGGGGCTGAGTCAGAGAGGTCACGCAGGGTGCTGGGCATCGGATAAGAGATGGGAGACTATGATGCCATTTAGGTCACATAACTCCTTTCACTCCACTGTGCACGCATACGAGGACCTGCAGGGTTTCTCCTGTGCTGGGTCTTCTAAATCCTGTCCAGATAATGAAATAATATGATGTTATGGCATTTTCAGCTGGAGTACCATCCAGAGTCAAATTGCATAAAAGATTAAAATAATTTATGAGTTAGTTTCCAGATCTGTAAGAGTTTTAAAGATTACATCAATGGATTTTCAAAGAATGGAACAATGCACGAAATTCTTACAAATTGTCTGGGTTCAAAAGCCAAAGTCCAATGTCACTTTCTAGGAATGAGGAAGAATTCCTGAGAATATTATTCATAGATATGCATAAACTTTTAAGTAGCACTTAAAAGCCACATCTTCATTCTCAATTTTCCTCCTACCTTTATAGAAACATAATGGTTGAAACTGAAAAGGAAGCTGAATTACTGCTTATTATGTTGTTCCCAGAATTAATGTGGCAATTTTGAGAGTACTTGCAAATAGTTAACGTGCCTGGCTGCTAAGCGAAAGGTTGGAGGGTCAAGTCCACCCAGAGGTGCCTTGGAAGGCCTGGCGATCTATTTCTGAAAGGTCACAGCCTTGAAAACACTTTGAAGCGCACATACTCTGACATATGTGGAGTTGGATGGATAGGCAGTTAATAACAAGCGACACAGTAAAGTAGCAAGGAATTACCTGATCAAATTAGAAAGGATACTTTCAGGGTAAGCAATACAGTAAAATCTGCGAAAGCCAGAACCTGTGTAAGGCAGAACCCGTCAGAGAAGGAAAACTCAAATATTTTCCACTAAAAGGAGATAGAAAAGTGGTACGACTGCACCCCGTCAAAGATGCAAAATTTTCAAGACCTGAAAAAACAAGGCAGTCCCATTGAGCTCTGGTTCTCACAGGTTTCACAGCAGTTACCCGTTTTAACCCATACACACATGAGATGCTGCATCAGCAACATCTCACACATCTTGTTGTTGTTGATGTTAGGTGCCGTCATTTCCAACTCACAGAGACCCTATGTACAACAGAAGAAACACTGCCTGGTACTGCACCATCCTCATGTTCGTTGTTACGCCTGAGTCCACTGTTGTAGCCACTGTGTCAATCCATCTTCTTGAGGGTCTTCCTCTTTTTTGCTGACCCTCTATTTTACTGAGCATGATGTTATTCTCCAGGGACTAGTCCCCTCCTGATCACGTCTTGCACATAAACCAAAACCAAACCTGTGGCCAACGAGTCAGTTTCGACTCATAGTGATCCTATAGGACAGAGAAGAACTGCCCCATAGGGTTTCCAAGGAGCGGCTGGTGGATTGGAACTGCCAACCTTTTGGTTAGCAGCCCAAAGCTTAACCACTGGTGCCACCAGGACTTCATCGTGCATATGGAAAACTTAAAAAAAAAAAATAAAGTTTGTTGAATCTAAATTTTAAAAGGCGAGACTCCAATAATGACTAGAAGATTTGAGTTCCATAAATGGCACATGCAGACTGCCAGAAAATATTTGTTCGATGATTAAGGGCAAAACAGGAAGGCACTAGAAGTTATTGGCAAAAGCTTTCCAAGTCAAGCTGGATATGAAACAAGCCTTTGTATTTATAATGTAAATATAATAGCCAAACACTGAGTTAAGTGCTTTACATACATCAACTACTTTAACTCTGGGAACAACTCTCTATACATTTTCTGTCCCCTTTTTAACAGATGAGGTAGGTAATTAAGTAACTTATTAAAGGTCAAAAAACTTTAATCCAGCGCATCTTTTCGGATCCAGAGATCATGCTCATCGCCATTATACTGTATTCTGAACTCTGAACTTGCACAGGAGTGAAAAGAAACAGCGTCAAGTGACTGCATGTTGTCCCATAATGTGGCGTTAGCTATATGCAACAAACACCTGGTCAACGGGTAGTGAAAATTTGGGGTCCAAGTTTTTGCTACAGAGAAACCCTGATGCCTGGGTAATGAAAAAGCTAGTGGCACCAGAAGTTGAGCCAGAAAGCTTTGTGTTTGGGGGCTACCTGACTGGTCACACTTCTTAAGTCATTTGCATGCTTTTGTCTCAAACCTCCGTCGTTTTCAATAGGATACTGGACTTGAATATTTGACTGGAAGAGAGCTCAAACGTAGTTCCTGTTTATTACTCCATGTATTCTGGATCACTCCGGGGAGAGGCATCCTCTATACATTGCCTGCTTTGATTTTGAAGATTGCAGGTGGTAATCTGACAAGGGGAAAACCAAACGATCTCGTGCCGACAACAATCATTTCTAGGATCTGATTGAGTTCGAATACATCACTACTCTGTTTTACAAAAAAAGTCTAGGCACTGATTTCGGCCAACTCCCACGCAAACGTCTGGATCTCTAGCACTACTTCCCCTTAACAGTGCCATACCACATCTAATTCTACGAGGAAGCCTGCGCTGAGGTTGCCCAATACGGTCGCTGGGGGAGTAGGTGGGCACACGCAAGTTACGGAGTCAGCTGCAAGCGGCCCGGGAGCAGCTGCCGAGCCACGGATGGAGAAGCGCGTGCTCCCCTATTTGCGGAATGATATTCTTGGCGTGAAAGCAATCTTCCTCCCACGGGCTCGGGAAGCCCCGACACTACAGGCTTCCTCGCCACAGTGGAGCCGTCGGTGCGTAGATCCTCCACCGCTTCCTCCTCCAGCTGCAATTACCCGACCCTTCCTGTTCAACGAGGGCCCCACCTCCCGCGTTTGAAGCGCGCGCCACCACGGCCCCGGAGACCACACGGAAGGCAGTGGGAGGTGTCGACCGCACGCACGCGCAGAGGGGGGCCGGCCCCGCCCCCAAGGCCCTGTCCAGGCTCCGGCCCAGGCCCCGCCCCTAGGCGCGCCTGGCGCGGTCGGCCGGCGGGTTACCCTGCAAACCCGTCTCGGCGGGACGTGGGTGCAGAGCGAAGCTTCTCCCTCCGAGCCCGTCGGCCCCGCCCAGGCCCCGCCCCTGCTAGGCCCCGCCCCTCGGCGCGCCTGCCTCGGTTAGTCAGCCTCGCACATCGGCAAACCTGTCCCAGCAGGGCGGGGAGCAGAGCTTCCTCCTCTGAGCGCGGTGCTGCCGCCCCGTTTGTCCTTCCGCCCCTGCCTCCACGACTGCGGGGCGAACGACGGGGAGAGCGGAAGGTGCGCTGAAGCCGAGGCCCGCGGCCCGGCCGGCGCGGGGTCGCCGGCGCGGGACATGTCGCTTTGGGGGGAGCCGCAGCAGGCCCCGCAGCCCTCGGCCTCGCAGCTGCCTCCGACCGCGCCCGCGGGGCCGCCGCCACCCCCTCCGGCCAGCGCAACCCTCAACCGCCTACGGGAGCCACTGCTGCGGAGACTCAGCGAGAGCTTGGACCGGGCGCCCGAGGGCCGAGGCTGGAGGAGGCTGGCTGAGGTGGCGGGGAGTCGGGGGCGTCTCCGGCTCAGGTGAGGCGACGCGGGCCGGGGGCGTGGTGGGGGAAGGGAGGGAGCAGGGCGAAGTCGACGTCACGTGGGCGCGGAGGGGTCCTGCGGCGCGCGACCTGAGACCGCGAGTTGAAGGACTGACACTGTCGTGGGTGGGGTTGGAAGCCCGTCGGGGGCACCCGAGTTGGGTGACGGCTGGTGGGGAAGAATGTGGGAAGGACTTCAGCCGTCGTTTAGAGAGCGCCTCCTGAACCCAGGAAGGTCTTGGGAATGCACAAGGTTGGAGGCTGTGGAATGGAGATGTTTCCCACCCTTTTCCTGCCTTCCCATGATCTGAAAGAGAGAAGTGGAGGATCAAAGAGCAGATACTGAGAAGGAAAGCTAATTATGATAGGGCAGATGGCAATTCCAAAGGACTTAAAATACAAAAGAAAGGATATTGACGCGCACCTAGAAGACCCAAGGAAGATTGAGATGGAGACGGAGACGTGCAGGTAGAGAGGTAATGAAAGCAGAGGATGTGGGGTACAAGAGTCCGTGGCTTCTATGTAGGGAGAGAAGGATGGTGGGAAAGACTGCAACAGAACTCACCATCTTCCCCCATCAAACCAAGTTCCAAGTTCTCTTCTTGACTTCACCATGAACATTATAAGTAAAGCTGTTTTCCTTTTTACCAGGCTTGGAACCACTGTACTAGGGGTTCTTGAACTTTTTGGCGACGGGACTCCTTTACTCTCGTAAGGATTATTGAGATTCCCCAAAGGGTTTTTGTTTATGTAGGTTATATATTACATATAGTGTGTATTGATATTTACCATATTAGAAATTAAAACTAAGACATTTAAAAATAACAATCGTAATAACTCTACATGTTAACAGAAATAACATTTTTTGTGGCAACACAAACTTCTAAAACAATTAGAAGAGTGAATTTGTTTTACATTTTGAAATTCTCATTAATGTCTTGGCTTAATTGAAGACAGGTGGATTCTTCCTGTTTGCTTCTGCATTCAGTTTGTTACAGTATGATAGGTCACTCCTGAGAGAATGAATGAGAAAGGTAAATAATGTCTTAGTATTCTATAAAAAGTCATTTTGGTCTTGCAGACCCCCTGAAAGGGGCTCTGGAACCCCAATAAGGGTTCTCAGACCATACTTTAAGAACTACTACTTTATACCACTATTCTGGTTTTGATCTGCCTTTTAACTCCTTAGCAGTTTGTTTTTTAAATTCTCCTATGTCTGAATGTTATCTTGTACTATAATTTGTACACATCTTTGTAAATTGTCTGAGAGCAGACACCATCTCTTAATATTCTTCTAGTTATTCATAGAACCTATCTTTCTTTTAATTGTACTTTAGATAAAGGTTTACAAAGCAAATTAGTTTCTCATTAAACAATACACGTATTGTTTTGTGACATTGGTTGCCAACCTCACGACCATAAATGCTCTTCCCTTCTCGAAGTTGGGTTTCCCATGACCAGCTTTCCTGTCCCCTTCTGCCTTCTCGTCCTTCCCCCTGGGCTGTTGTGTCCATTTCGTCTCATTTTGTTTTATGGACCAGTCTAATCTTTGGCTGAAGGGTGAACCTCAGGAGTGACTTCAGTACCAAGTCAAAAAGGTGTCCGGAGGCCATACTCTTGGGGTTTCTCCAGTCTCTGTCAGACCAGTTTAAGTCTGTTCTTTTTTTTTGGGGGGGGGGGTTCACCAGTTTAAGTCTGTTCTTTTCTTTTTCTTTTTTTTTTGGTGAGTTAGAATTTTGTTCTACATTTTTCTCCAGCTGTGTCCAGGACTCTCTGTTGTGATCCTTGTCAGAGCAGTCAGTGGGGGTAGCCAGGCACCATCTAGTTGTGCTGGACTCAGTCTGGTGGAGGCTATGGTGCTTGCAGTCCGTTAGTCCTTTGCACTAATCTTTCCCTTGTGTCTTTAGTTTTCTTCATTCTCCCTTGCTCCAGACAGGGTGAGACCAGTGGAGTATCACAAGCTTTTAAGATCCCAGACACTACTCACCAAAGTAGGATATAGAATGTTTTCTTTATAAACTATGTTATGCCAGTTGAGCTAGGTGTTCCCCAGGACCATGGCCCCTGGCCCTAAGCCCAGTAATTCAGTCCCTCGGGGAGTTTGGATGTGTTTATGGAGCTTCCATGAGCTGCATAGCACCTGTCTTAACACTCAATAAATATTTGTTGAATTGAGAGGAGGAATCATTCTTTCATTCAGAATTATACTTGATAGCCAGTTATTTGTTAGAAGTTCCAGAAGATAAAAAGATGACAACTATTTAGCTCCTTTTCACAAGGGCTTAGCTAATAATGGATGTTATTCTGGGACATTCACAAATAACATGTTAAATGTTATATAATAATGACAACAATAATTTTATCATTTACTGAGCACTGAGTTTATACCAGACAATGTACTGTTTACTTGCATTATTTACTTTAATCCTCACAACAACCCAAGTTTCAGAGAAATTGAGGTTAAGGCAAAGAGAAATGATGATTTTGGATTATTTGTACGTAAAGGTAAGAGAAACAAGAAGTGGTAAACTTGCAGAATTGAGCAGACAGCATTTTTTCTGTTCTAGGGAGAACATCATTGAGCTTTTCAGTGAGCAAAGACAATCCAAAATAATATTTTTCTAGGTCCATAGATTTCCAAATGTCTAAACTTTTGCAGTCTGAAGTTTGGAGAATTTGGGATCATTTAGCTCATATGCCTATTGGAATTGGAATCAGAGAAGATCCACGTAGTCTGAGGACTAGAGTGAGCAGAAAGAATTAAACTGACATAAAAAGTTAGCATTGGGAGAAGGGCAGCTATGGTAGCAGAAGGTGCTAATGGTACTTTTCTCTGGTATCAAACATAGGGATTGTCCTGCGTGAGTCCGGCCCAAGTGGGTAACAAGTCCCATGAGAATGTAAGTTGTTTCCATCAGTGGTCCTGGATTCACAGGCCAAAAATCTCCAAAGGTGTCTTTTTCTTCTCTCTCTTTCCACTTTTTTTCTCACTCTTTACATCTTTCCTCAAACCAGATGAGAATTTATTTAACTTTTTTAAAAAAAAGAAAAAAACTGTAAGAAAACAGAGTCCATTCAGAACTGTCCACCAGGGATTAGGAATAATTTTAAATATTTTCAGATGGTTATTGATGTGTACTATCTACCCTAATATTCCAAACTGATGTACTATTGAACACCCTTTCCTGTCAGTGTAGAGATAGGCAGGTGCAAGTTCTCAGTGGCTTGCTCAGTCTATGTAAATTCCATGACGGCATGGCAGATCTGAGCCCCAAGGATGGATGGCAGAACTTTCTGGAAGCCTCTAATGCTGTCTGAATTGCATTAAGCAGGGGACTTAGAAATGAGGCTGTAGAACATGGACCAAGGAAAAACAATCTGTCACTGCATAGCTGCTGTATGGAAGGTACTTCTTTAGCTGCAGAAATCCCACCCTGAAGCAGCTTATAACATGCTATAGGAGTGAGAACATGTGAAAAGCTTTAACAGAAGGTCTTCTCCATATCTCTTCAGTCTCTGAATGTTGGAGTGCTTTGGGATCAGTCACTGTGTCTCTCTCTACAGGTCTTTCACCTAATCTCCTTCTTGGTGTCATCCTTCAGTCTCACGGCTTCCCATGTATTTAGGCTGATTATGCCCATTTTTATCTCCAGCCCAGATCTCTGCCTGAACTCCCAGATTCATGTACGCAGATGCCCATTTGCCATCTCTCCTTGAATGACTGATTGGCATCTTAAAGTGAACAATGTTTTCCCCCAGAAACACTTATCTGTCTGTCTTTCTGTCTATATCTTTCTCTGTGTGTCTCATGCGGTTGTCTGCATCTCGGTAAATAGCAGTTGCATCCTTCCAGCTGTTCAGACCAAAACTTCAAAGTCATCCCTGACCCCTCTTTTACACACCACATCCATTTTGTCAGTAAATCTTATCTGCTGTACCTTCAATATATATCTAGAATATTTATTATAAAAACTAGTTGCGGTTGAGTCAACTCCTACTCATGATGACCCCATGTGTGTCAGAGAACTGTGTTCCATAGGGTTTTCAGTGGCTGGTTTTTTTGGAAGTAAATCACCAGACCTTTCTTCCAAGGCACCTCTGGGGAGACTAAAACCTCCAACCTTTCAGTTAGCAGCCAAGCATGTTAACTGTGCCACTTAAGGACTCATATACATTATAATATATATAAAATATGTATGTTATTATATTCTTCAACAGTTAACATACTAGTCCATACCACCATTGTCTCTCACCTGGATTATTCCAGTAGCTGCTTAACATCTCCCTTCTGCTTAAACCTCCCTCCCCTACCCCCAAGTCTATTCTCAATATAGCAGTCAGAATGATTCGTTTTAAACATTAAATTGGATCTTGTCCTTCCTCTGCTTAAAACCCTCCAAGTGCATTTCTGTCTCAGAGTAAAAACACATGTAGCCTTCACTTAACTCTTGGACCTCATAGTCTTATTATCATAACCTCCCTCTCTAGTCACACTTGCTTTCTTGCTTTTCCTTGAACACAGTAGGGTCTTACACTTGCTGTTTTGTTCACTACTCTATCCCCAGTACATAGAACAGTATCTTGACACATTATAACTTTAATAAATATTTTTTCAAGTGAAAGGATTCATTCTAGGCCCAGGAAACACATGGAAGAATCTGTGGAGAATGACTTGTAGACAGCACACAGAATTGGGAGCGAGATTAGTTAGAATGCCCTCATACTAGATTGATCGGTATAAAATTATGGGGGTTGGTAGTTGTGGAGATGGGGAAATATGGTCAGATCCAGGATATATTTTGGATGTACAGTTCAGAGGGCTTGTTGATGGATTTAAAATGAGTAGTGAAGAAACCCTGATCACGTAGTGGTTAAGAGCTACAGCTGCTAACCAAAAGGTCAGCAGTTTGAATCCACCAGGCTCTCCTTGGAAACCCTATGGTGCAGTTCTCCTCTGTCCTGTAGGGTCACTATGAGTCAGAATCAGCTCAAAGGCAATGGGTATGGTATAGTAATGAACAAAAGCAATAAATCAAGGATAATTTTTGGGTTTAGCTTGAGTAACTGAGTGGGTGGTGATACACTGAGTGGGTGGTGATACAGTTTGTTCAGATAGGGAAGATGGGGAGAAGCAGGTTTAGACAGGAGAAATTAATAGAGTCTTTAGTTAAGTTTTAGTTATCTATTAGACAAATAAGTAAAGATGCCAAATAAGCATGTAGATATAGTTTGGGGGGCCATGGTAGTGTATTTTATCAGTTACTGTTCAGTCAGTTCTGACTCATGGTGACCCCATGTGTGTCAGAGTAGAACTGTGCTCCATGGAGTTTTCAATGGCTGAATTTTTTAGAAGCAGATCACTAGGCCTTTCTTCTGAGGTGCCTCTGGGCAGACTCAAACCTCCAGCCTTTCAGTTAGCAGCCAAGTGTGTTAACTGTTTACACTATATTGGTGGTATTTAAAGCTATGGGTTTGGATGACGTCACCTGCAAAGAGTATAGAGAACAGGAGAGGGCCAGAATAGACTCCTAGGGCATTCCAACGTGAAGTAGTTGATCACTGGAAACAGCAAGGATAGACATCCTGTTCAAACAGAATAGCTGTGGCTGAAGGGAGATGTGGATGGAAGAAGGTTTTGTTTTTTTTTTTCCTTTAAATAGGTGGTAGAGCAAGGTTGCTAGCTAATGGGAGTGATCTGAAAAACTGGAAGAAATAGATGATGGAAGAGAGAGAAAGGGCAGCTGCAGAAGCAAAGAGAATGTCAGAGCACTTCTGTGTTCTGGATCTTCAGTAGAGAACTTGGTATGTGTTGTAGGGCACTGTGGTGAAATCTGTGAGAGTTACAGCCCCTATGAATTTCTTGTGCACTGCTGGATTCTCAGAGCCTGGGACAGTGCCTGGCACAGAGTAGGCTCTGTTGGTTACTTCAGTTACCAAAGCTGGACAACACTGAAAACAGCAATGTTGTAGAACTTGGAGTAATTATTTCATGGAAGCTACTTTCTTTCTTTATATATGGTAGAGGTCTGTTCTAGATGATAATTATATTGATTATTATTCCAACATTATCTGTGTATGCCTCCTGTTTATGAATGCCTCTGGCACTGGCAATGCTGCAGAGAATAAAATAGATAAAAATCTCTGCCTTATTCTCACTAAAGTGTCAGGAGCAAGACAAATATGCCCGTTATTATTATCACTGTTAACGTTGTACTGTATTAACCAACACATTTAAAAACTTTAGAGGAGGTAAAATTTTCATTATTTTAGATGATATAATTGCATGCCTGGACTACTCAAGAAAACTGTAAAACCTCCCCAAACATTAAGAGAATCCAATAAGGTAATTATAATTTTATAATTATAACATTAATATTTAGAAACCAGTATCCTCTATATGCACAAACAAAAAACAATTTAATGGGTGAAAAAATCCCATTTTTAGCAGCATCAAAAAAGATAAACTAGCCAGGAATAAATTTAATAAGAAATGCATAAAAGTATGTGAGAAATACTCTAAAACACACTTGAAAGGCACGAAAGTAAATTGGACAAATAGAAAGACGTGCCATATTGTTGCATAGGAAGACTTCAGTATTATAAAGATGTCAGTTCTCCCTAAATGAATTTTTAATGTTAGCACAATCCCTACAAAACATAGTTGGTTTCATTCTCTTCCTCCTTCCCTCCACTCCTTCCTCCCTCACTCCCTTTCAAACTCTAAGTTTATTCTAAAGAACATATGTAAATATAAATAAGCAAGAATGGCCAGGAAAACTCCAAAAAAGGAGTAATAAGGGAAGACTAGTCCTTAGACATAACTGAGTCATTTTAAAGTCTTAATAATTAAAACAATGTGGTACTGGTACATGAATAGACAAACCAGTGGAACAGACTACGAAGTTCAGAAAGATCTAATATAAATAAATGTAAGAGTTTATTATATGATAAAACTTGCATTTCTAATTATTGAAGTAAAAAGTTTTTGATAAATACTATTGGAATAAGTGGGTAACCATCTGGCGAAAGATAATCTATATTTCATACTATACATTTATTAGAGTAATTGATGCTAGCTGCTATAACAAATAACCCTCCCCCCCACCAAATGGCATCACATAATAAAAATTCATTTCTTGCTCACACTGTAGTTATGTGTAAGAAGTCTGGAACCCAGGAATCCTGGCTTCTTACATTCATTATGTGGTTCTGCCATGTCATGCTCCCTCACCTTGGACCATGGTGCTTGCAAGCCAGGATCTTGCAAAAAATGTGTGTCACTTCCACTCACTTCCATTCTAGTGCCCAGAACTAGTTACCTGTAGCCCCAAAGGAGGGTGGAAAATGTACTGTTCCTATATGCCTGGGAAGAAGAACCAGGATTAGTAAATATCTAGCCAGCCTTTGCCTCAGTGTATCAGGATAAGCTCCAAATAGGTCAGAGGTTTTCCTATTTAAAAAAGAAGATGAAAGAGACTGTTCTGGAAAAAATATAAGCTTAGAGAAGAAGATTGATAAATTGCATAAATTAAAATCTTCAGGACAAAGGAAAAAAGTATACACACACCCCTCACCATAAGCAAGTTGAAAGAAAAGGAGGTTGAACTAGGAAAATATATTTAATTCGTATCACAGACAAGGGTCTAAATATACCTAACATGTAAAGATCTCATAGAACTCAATAAGAAATAGCAAAAGGTCTAATAGAGGAGTGGGCAAAAAATATGGACAAACTATTCATAGAAAAAAACCACAAATCGTACTTAAACATATGAAAAGATAAGATACCTAGCCTCATTCATTTTAAAAGAAATGCAAATTAAAATTACCCAGATATACCATGTTCCCCTTATCTGGTAAAAATCCAAAAGTGTGTCAACACATTCTATTGGTAAGGCTGTGGGGAAACAGGCACTCTCATGCATAGCTGATGAGGGTCCAAAATTGTACAGCCATTTGAAGAGATCTATCAGAATTACACTTGCATGCACACTCTGACCTAGCAGTCCCAGTTCTGGAATTTTATGGATAAACTTGCACATGTACGAGATGACATGTTCAGGGTTATCCATAGCAGCATTATTTTGTAAGAGCAAATAAGTTCGAACAACCTGAGTGTCACATCTGTAGGAGACTGGAATAAATACCATGACATAGTCATACTAAAGAATATTGTGCAACTATATGACAGCCCTTTTTCTATAAAATAAAGGGGGAGAATAAGAATATATATTTATATTTGCATTAGGAAGCACTGTAAGGGGCAACTAAAGAATCCCTGCCAGAAAGTAGGATTGGAGTCCCAGTGCCAGTACTCCTGGCTGAGGGACAGTGAGCAAGTCTCTTCACCTCTCTGAGGTGTGCTGTGCTGACTCCTGATGCAGGGGAAGTTGTCCGGCTGATTCTTCTTTCCCCATGAATGTGTTCTTACATATGTAGGTCCCTTCCATGCCCCCTACTCTTAATACCCATTTTCATATGTGTTTATATATATACCTATACCTTTTTTTTCCACAAAGAAAAGATACACAAGAAACTAATACAAGAGGTTTCCTATGGGGCTTGGAGGAATGTGGTATAGAGTGATTGGAATGGGAGTGAATGGTATCTATCAACGTGTCTATCTGTCGATAAAGAGGAGTCCCCTATAATGACAGAAGAAGGAAAGGACAGTCGCATTTATAATGTAACTAGATTTACACCACTCAACAGTTAGAGATTTATTTATATCCCTGTAGCACTTCCATTTGCGCCAAACGTATAGCCAGCATGTTACATTGAATAAAATCGTTGGCTTAAATCTGTTGTTTTCAGTTGCCTGGACTTGGAGCAGTGTTCTCTTAAGGTATTGGAGCCTGAAGGAAGCCCAAGCCTGTGTTTACTGAAGCTAATGGGTGAAAAGGGTTGTACAGTCACGGAACTGAGCGACTTCCTGCAGGCCATGGAACACACTGAAGTTCTCCAGCTTCTCAGCCCCCCAGGTAGGTTTTTCACTTAGGTATATTCTCCAGGAGTTCATGGAGACAGAATAGAGGAAAATAGCTCATTTATCCAGGCAAATTGTGCTAAGTATTTTTGGAAAATATGTAGAGCCTCGTTTTTCTCCGCAGGTATTTGACATAAATCTAATCAAACTTTTAAGCGTGACTGTCAGTTTACAAAAAGTACAGGGAATAGAGTTACGAATCAAATGAAGTCATAAGGAAATTATCAGAAAAATCCTGAATGTAGGGTATCTTGTAGGAAAATTTTTGGAAAATGTCAGGTCAAAACAAAAAAGTTAACAGTCTTCCTGAAAATTTTAAACAATATTTTGATTTTTGACAAGCCACCAACTAATAAGGTGCCACCCTAATAAGCATCAGTAATCTTCTTTTGGGTGCCCTGGTGGCACAACAGTGAAGTGCTCACTTAACCAAAAGATTGACAATTCAAACCCGTATAGTGGGTAGGAGAAAGACCTAGCGATCTGCTCCTGTAAAGATTACAGCCAAAGAAACTCTATAGGGCAGTTCTGCTCTGTCACATGGTGTTGCTATGAGTCTAATTCCCTCAACAACACCAGCAACAATAAATCTTCCTTTGAAAAGTCCATTTCTTTCTTTCTTTCTTTTTTTACATTTATTTTTTGTTGTTGTTGAGAATATACACTGCAGAACATACACCAATTCAATAATTTCTACTGTATAATTCGGTGACGTTGATTACATTCTTCAAGTTGTACAACTGTTCTCATCCTCCTTTTTCGAATTGTTCCTCGCCCATTAACATAAACTCGTTCTCCCTGAGTTTCCTATCTAATCTTTTGAGTTGCTGTTGTCAGTTTGATCCCATATAGATAATTCTTAAAAGAGCACAATGCTCAAGGCAGACATTCTTTACTCATTAAGCTAAATTATTGTTTGGTTTTAAGAAGACTTTTAGGGGATATTTTTGGATTAAGGCTTAAGATTTAAAGATTATCTCAGGGCAATATTTTCGGGAGTTCATCCAGTCTCAGTGGCTCCAGAATGTCTGGATTCCATGAGAATTTGAAATTGTGTTTTGCATTTTCCCCCAAACGTTCGGTAATGGTAGCCGAGCACCATCCAGTTCTTCTGGTCTCATGGCAAAGGAGGCAGTTGTTCATGGAGGCAATTGGCCACACGTGCCATTTCTTCCTTCTATTCTGACTCACCTTTCTCTGTTGCTCCAGGTGAATAGAGACCAAATGTACCTTGGATGGCTGCTTACAAGCTTCTAAGACCCCAGGCAGTATGCAGTGAACTAGGAGGTAGAACAGAAGCACTAAACGTGATATTAGGCCAATTAACTGGAATGTCCCATGAAAGATTTTATGGTTCTTGATTCACATCACCAAGTTACCTTTCAAAAGCTTTGTGCTAATTTGCATAGCCATGAGCAGGGGTTGTGGGAAACATCATCTGCATATTCTGGCCCATGAAAAGTCCATTTCTGCTCTTTGTGTTTTTCTTTAAATAGTAGGACTGGCACTTTACTGACAGTGCTCCCCTGTGCTGTGCAGATTGTTCTGAAGTTAGACCTCCAGGTTTTTTCAAAGTTATTCCCTAGTACTTGTTCACATTTGAAGGAGAATAGGAAAAGGAAAGCAGTTTCTATATTACTGCTTGTTCATTGCTTCTGAAGTTTTATGTCAGATTAGCCAATAGTGTTCGTAGGAGTCCATTGTTACTTGAATGTTAATTACTGATTTAAGAGGAAATATTTTGAGATCTGATAAAAGCTCAGTAATTTTAGGAAGAAGTAAATAATTTACCGTTAGCTTGCCATCTACATCTTGTATTAGGAAAAAAACGAAACCTGTTGCTGTCGAGTTGATTTTGACTGATAGCAACCCTATAAGACAGAGTAGAAGTGCCCCCATAGGGAGGGCACTTTACGGAAGCAAACTGCCACATCTTTCTCCGTAGAGCGGCTGGTGAGTTCAAACCGCCAACTTTTCAGTTAACAGCTGAGTACTTTCACCACTGTGCCACCAGGGTTCCTACATCTTATATGAATAATCTAAAACTTAACAAATCTGAGGATATTAGAATAAAGAAATACAACAATTGTAGAGCAGAATTTTAATACAGTAAAACCGGTAAAAGCCAGAACCTGTTTAAGGCAGAAAGCTATCAATAGAAAAGGAAAACTCAAATATCTTCCACTAACAGAAAAACCAAACGCATTGCCATCGAGTTGATTCTGACTCATAGCGACCGTATAGGATAGTAGAACTGCCCCATCAGATTTCCAAGGCTGTAAATCTTTATGGAAACGGACTGCCACATCTTTTTCCTGGGATGCAGCTAGTGGGTTTGAACTGCTGACCTTTTGGTTAGAAGACAAGTGCTTAACCACTGCATCACCAGGCTTCCTTCCACTAATAGAGAAAGGTGGTCAGACTCCACGTTTTGAGGACAGAAAACTTGTGAGACCCGGAAAAACAAAGCAGTCCCATTGAGTTCTGGCTCTCACAGGTTTCACTATTTAATAAGGATATTGAGAATAGAAACATTATAATTAAGATATATTACGAATATAAGCCATATAGGAATCAACTTAATTTGGGATTTTGTTCATTCATTAAGAAAATTTGCTGTATTCCAGTACCTTTCCTATTGCAGGCATTGTGCTAGGTATAATGATTCAAATTTAAGGATGACTAAAACAATAGTTCCTGCCTGTCTGAAGTTTGTAGTCTAGTAGGTGAGACAAACATGTAAGTGATTATATCCAGTACTATCATAAATAATTTTATCTTATCTTGTAATTTCTTCTTTCCAGCATATTCTTGAATCTTGGTGAAAATTCAAAATAGAAATATTCTAATGTTTTCTGTTTTTTTGTGGTCATTCAATTTCATAGGAGGACATCAGTTCTTATTCCACAGCAAGTCTGGTGATCTTTCTCTGTTTATTTTTGGAGTGAGAAGTCTAATGTAGGTGATTCAGATGAGTTATGCCAAAAATTCTGTGAGCCTCGGAGCAGGCCTCACAGACCTAAATGCAGGGAGAAGGGAAAGCTGTAGATATATGAGAGTCTTACTTTGCCATGTTCTGTTCCAGTTGTTTGTGGAATGACAGCCAGAGATAGCTATGTAATACAGAGTTTCTCTGTTTTTTAAGAAACTGATGAGTTTCTTTTTTGTTTTCGGAGCCCAGAGGTGGCTGGGGCAGCATTCCCCCAGCTCTAACTGCAATAGTCCCGTTCTTTTGGAGCCAGATTCAGTGGTCCCTCACTTTACTTAGCATGATGTCTAAGCTGAGTGTCAGCTCACTCCAAAATTCTTGTTCTCTGTGGGCTGTGGCACCTTCACTTTTTGAAGGAGCATTGTAGGATTGAGGTTTACCCTCTTCTGCTTTCTTTCTAACTGGGCTTTTCCACAGCCCACAGGCTGGTCAGTTTGCCCCTCAGTCTGGTCTCGCGTGAACTATGTCTTAGAGAAATTGCTCATAGTCCTTATGTGCAGATGGTGTCCATCCCCACTCTCCATCACTGATGAATTGTTTCCCTATTTTTATTCTTTTGGTCAACTGTGTGGGAATTGGAGCGGAGAGCCGGTAAATGAATGTGCTGAAATTGTTTTGAACCTGAGCTCCGTAATGATTTTTAGGACTTTATTCTTTTATTTAAGCTTCAAAGACCCTGATCCCCAAACAGCCAATATTGTCATCAGTATCCTCAGCGATGTAGATAAACTTAGATATCCAGTTCAAGATGTTTTTATGTATTTGTTTTGCTTTTAAGTGAAAACTTTTTGAGTGCAGAGTTATGGGATCAGTTCCCCATCAATTAGTTATTTAGATCATAAACGGTTGCCTGAGGGAATAATGCCTTTCAGCTGGAATTGCTTAAGCAGCAACCTGACAATGGAGGGTGTTTAGAGAGTTTACATGTTATGTGAGAGTTTCATTGCTTGAATTCTAAGGTTCTCCCAGCTCAGATTTTGTGATGTTACTATTTTATTTCAGCCTTCGTTTGGAAGTACTACATTGCTGGTACATAATCAGATGACTGTAGCATAGTCATGGGATGTTTCTTTTCAGTGGCAACTTTTCCTTTCCCCACCTTCCTTTTTCATTTCACATCACTTTTTTTCCTAGTTGTGGTAGCATACTAGTTATGTTTCTAATACCAGTTTTATTTTTTATTGTCTCTAAGACAAGAAAGAGCAACGATTGATTGAATATTATTCTTTTATTTTCCTAAATTTTATTTATTTTGTAGTTGTTGTCAAGAATATACACAGCAAAACATACGCTAATTCAGCAGTTTCTACATGTACAATTCAGTGACACTGATTACATTCTTCAAGTTGTGCAACCACTCTCACACTCCTTTTCAGAATTGTTCCTCCCCCATTAACAAAAACTCACTGCCCCCTAAGGTTCCTATGAATACTGATCTTTACTTAACATTTTATTCTCACAGTTCTGTGAAGAGAACAGTGTTACTATGAACACTTTAAATTTTACTAGCAAACATTTATGTGGAAAATGAGATTTCCAGAAGTTGTCATTTGGCCAAAGTTACAGTTATTGACAAAGGTTGGATTGGAACCTGTTGGCCCTATCCCTGAGTTCAATGCCATTTCCATAGTACTAGAAAAGTTCTGGATTGTTCGATAAACTTGGTTATGGAATATTACCTCACTTGCCTCTTTAATCCAGGAACTTTTTTTTTGTCCTTCTTCTTCTGACAAATTAAAAAGTACTCAAATACTATATTTTATTTACAAGGGACTTTTCTTGTTTCATGAATATCAGGAACTTGGCAATTATGCCCAAAAAGAAAATATCAAGAAGTGAAAAGAGGCAGGATGGTATGGATGGGAGATGAGTTTAAGGAAGAGGAAGGGAGTGGTGAGTGAGGTCTGGAAGAATGTGTTTTGGGCCTACAGTATTCAGGGGAGTTGAGTAATGCAGAAGAATAAAGGATATGATGTGGGAGGCTAGATTTAGCCGTAGTAGATGCA